AAAAAAAAAACATTCATTGCGACATTGCATTATTGAAGGAAATAAGTAAGACTGGTGAATTGGTCATTAAAATTGACAAGCGATACCTTTTTCAGTATCTTGGTGAATTCTTGTCTAATATCAGCGACCATTTCCACAGCGTTCTTCTTCGCATCTTCTTTGAAGTATTTCCTAACGTACATCGCGCCGACACTTATGGCCAAGCTACCAGATACTGTATCGATGCACTCCTTCCATCTGGGCTCTCTCTCCGTTTTCCCGCTTAACGCCGTGGAGTATTGCAGCTGCCTTTTTCGAATCTCGTCGGTGAGATAGCTTACAGAGGAGGCCGCCGCCCTCCACATCACGTAGTTGGCTTGCACTCTTTTCGGCGTGGCGGCCAGCAGTTTCTCCAAGCTCGCGATGTAATTGGGTACGCTGACGATCACGACTTCCTCTTCGTCCACTTCCGCGCTAGGCGCTAGAAGAGTGTTGAAGTATTCCTTCCACGGAACGCTGGAGTAAGTCTTGGACAGCTCTCGTACCGTCATCGGATTGTAAAGAAGCGTGGCGTTGCGGCGCTTTTCATTCGGCAAGGAAATCTGCGGAATTAACAGTGAAAGTTTTAAGTTAAAATACACACGAATTTTTGAGTTAAGTTTGGATTTTTTTTTTTTGAAAGGTATCGCCAAGTTTGATCTAGATCCATTCAAACTCACGTTGGCAAGTTTCATCTCATATTCCAACGACTCTTTCAATTCGTTCTTTGCGTCGGTTTTATTTGCTCCGAGAATCACTGCGATGTCAACCATGTAGCTGTAGTATGCCTGTACGATTTTATCGTCGAAACCTTTGGACAAATATTCGCGCGACAACCCAAGGGCAGCTTGATCCAACTGAAAGAAAGAAAGAAAAAAAAATTTTAAAAACATTTTTAAATTATCAAAATATTCGAAATTTTGCATTGGACTGTGCGTTAACGCGGCATTAGTACAGTCGTTAACTGAGCAAGCACACTTTGCAGTCATCTGTCTAAGTCACCTACTTAAGTAAATATTGAGCTATAATCAGAAATGCAACGTTCGACCACGTTTGCGATATTTATTATTATCCGCTAAATGGCACAGGCTTTAAGGAAGACCATGTTTACATTAGCAATTTATACGTTTAACTGACTTTTGCATTTCGATGTGTACGTATGTACAATAACTCTGTTCTTTGAGAAGAACTCCACGCTGATTTTTTTCGAGAGATTACGGCCATGCTACGCAAAAGGGTTTCTGTAAGGGTATCTCGTATACGTACGTCGAGTGTTCGTTTCGTGCTGTTCTTCAGATCAACGCCAATACTTTGAGAAGTACTCCACGCTGATTTTTTTTTGAGAGATTACAGCTTTATGGCCATGCTACGCAAAAGGGTTTCTGTAAAGGTATTTTGTATACGTACGTCGATTGTTCGTTTCGTGCTGTTCTTCAGATCAACGCCAATACTGAAATCGACGAAGTAATCGACGGAGTAGCCCATCTGGCGGAATTTGTACACCGATTCCTTCCAGTTAAATTCATTTTCGTTCCACTGGTCACCTTCAAGTACTGGCCAGCCACCGAGCTTTCGCAAGATGTTCAGCAAAGGATCCAATCCTTGTTGCTCGATGATTGCTGGAAGTAATTGAAAGTAGTATTATACAAAGTAAAATTAGATTTTCACTTACATTTACTCTACATACTGTATGTATACTTACTCTTGTTCATACAAGCCTTGTACAAATTCTTCGCGAGTCTGAACGGTTTCGGCTCGTCCGGCGTACTTTTCCCCTCGATGCTGGCCCTCAGCTGGTTCTGCAGCTCGTCGCTAATTTCAGTGAATGTGTTTACACTGGTCTTGTCGTCCGGGATGATGGTAGACTTGAGGAAACCACCGCAAGCGAAATCGTAGAAGTCGTCGCACGGCTCCACCTCGGGATCCATGTTCTTCAACAGTCTGGAGGCTAAAGCCTCGCGCAATTAGCAACATTTCTTCGACAAAAGTGATAGAATTGAACGGTGCAGGCAACAGTTGGTCAAAGGTATTTAAGGTTATTAGAAGTTTGATTATTCGAGTAAGTTTTTTTTACACTGACCCGTGTAGATGCATTCTTTCGTGGTGCAGACGTCTTCGTCGCAGCTGGGTCCCTTGTCGATCACGTGAACGCCTTTATTCTGTTGATAACCGTTCAGGGCGTCGGCTGTGGATGGTAATCCCTCTGAGTTAACGGGATCTACTCTCGCGTAGGCGGAGATGCAGGTGTAGTTGCAACACGAAAACATTGCAGGACCATAATGTTAATGATTGTTAGTGACAGTCGTTTTTCAAGCTGCGGTAACAAACAATCTGATCAATGGATATGAAATGAATACGAAACGAAACGATCCGCTCCGTTTAAATTTAAATCAAATCCCATCTAATTCGTTGAAAAATTTTTGCCCGAAATAAAAAAGAAAAAACAACACAGTTTCCACGCAGGTCTCGTTGTGTCTGTACAACGAGAACTTCGTAGAATAAAAAAGACAAAAGAATCCATCAGAATCAACGTCCTCGACCGATAGATACGTAAAACAATTTAACCGTTAACCGACTAATCTCGTGGTGTCACGCATGCTTGTACATTGTCTCCGTCGCGATTCGCTTCACATCGTTTGAGTGAACCTTTGTGGAAACTTCTCGAACATCGGTGCTAATTAACCTCGAGCAATTGATCCATTCAGAGGCAAAAGGATCAATCGACGCGAGTTTATTCAAAATCCTGCAGCCTACAGCAATTATCTTTATTTTGTTCCTTCTCACATCGTCGAACACTGTTTTCCCAAACGAAGTGAAGAGAATAGAAACGAGAGAGTAAATTTCGGTAGTCGACTGTGTTTACGAAAGTTCAGACACTCTTTCTGGATCGTAAAACCCAGTACGAATGGGTTAATCGATCGATTTCGTGCGTGGTTGGCGATAAAGAAAAAGTAACAATCCGTTTTGTTCTAAAAGCACGATCGTTCGCCGTGCCGATTCGTAAAAATATTCCGGTGATTCACGCATTCGATTGTTTCTTCGATGAAGTTATCGACGCCCGATCGAAAATATACAAATGAGAAAATACGCGGGCCGCTCGCTAATAATTCGCTCGCCGAAAAGTACGAGCTAGCACACAAGGATGAGTAACTCTCAAAACAATGGACCACTCGCTCCGATGCGTCAGAATCGGCGCGTTTTTATTGACGTCACGATTTCTTTAACGCGTCAAATTACGCGTTGTCCGGGATATCCTTCGTTGGTCGATCGTCGGATTCTCCGCGCGGATGTTTGTACATTCGCGGGGATTCGCCATACCATATAAAGTCGCACGATTATCACGTAGTCGCGAGGAACTCGTGCTTGATCGAATCCGATTGTAGTCTCGATACGTGAGACAAGGATGAAATACGACTGTTCTTCTTTGCGACGGTTTCAAGATTCGCGCGGCGCTGTGTTTCATATCTTAAACATTATTTATCTTACGTAATATATAGTTATATTTTTATCGATCGTTCTTGGTGATCTATTGTAAGTGGTGGCGGGAAAAGTGATCGGTCATTTGGATATGGAATACCACGTTCGATATGCAGCGCGAGTATTTTTATCGACAAAGCTCCCCAAAGTTCAGAAAAATGCTCGTTGCAAGAAATCAGCGGGCAACGTGTAAAAATACACGTGCTCGAATGCTGCGATAAAAATATATGGGATAAATAAGTTGCGTAACTCGCGCGTAGAAGACCGTAAAATTATAATAGACGGTATATATATGTATATCCTTAATTATATATGCGCATAGAAACAGCTAGAGTAATAGAATACGAACAAAGAAGCGAGTTAAAATACCGACGCTTTATGCAACAGCGTCCAGCGAAATATATACATATATATTTCGAGAAACCGAGGAGAAGTGCATTAATTCGCGGAGATAGATCAACGTGAGAAAAATAGGTCGCACGTGACATTAGCTGTCAATGGAATTTACGACGATTCGATTGTAAGCCTGTTTAGTCAGCTTTCACGTGCTCGAAATTCTTTTTTAATGGTCTTTCCTACACGCCACCGAACCGTTCTCTCGCGCGAGGATCGAAAGCTCCTCGTCGCTTCCAAGTTCTTACGAAATCTAAACGTTGAAATTCGAAATGAAGTAAAAAGCACCTGCCTGAGAAGGAAGTTATCACAGAAGCTATTATCTTATCTTATCGCAGTTTAATTACTAGGTACAGGTATATTTATTCAAGTCCATCGCGAATTATTTAAAGTGTATTATTATGCTTTTGACAAATGGCTCG